CAATACGATCAAGTGTTTTTTTTTTTATAGTTCTTGGAGTTCTGAGAACCACACAAATAAAAAAAGGCAAAAAAAACTGTCAGGAAGCCCTCTCCAAATCAAACCCACACATCTATCCCAAATTCTGGGACAAGCAGGCATCTCTATTCCTTGCCAACCCCTAGTTTTTAGGATAGTTTACTTTTTTTTTTGCTATCTGCCGTTTCATAGTGTAAAACTCCGATGTGCTAAAAAAATCAGCGAGGGAAACTTCACCTCACAAATATGTTTATGGTCTTTTATACTGTAGCTGGAGCCGGTACCAGCGCTGCAGGTGTTCGTGTGAACAGACTCGACTGGCAGGCCTGCGCAGACGTGCCCACAGAGCCCCTAGTTGACGCGAGTCAATCTGCACCCTACGCGCAGCTCTTTCGCTGTGCAGGTGGAACGCAAGAACAGCAGTACCTTGAACCCTTCAGACATCCTTAAATTGGCCAATTCTAAATTTGAAAGAAATACGATACCAAGTAACATTCCATAAACCTGGTCTGTTTTCTTTTTTATTGCCTCATTTAGCGATTTCTTTATACATTTATTTGCACTCATTTTTTATACATTTGGTTTATTACCTTCCAGCCATAAAAAAAGACCTTATCGTCACCATGCGTGCCCTTTATTCACAAATCTCAGCACAGCTACCTCAGGTTTCTAAACCTGTGGCGCAGAGGTGGCTCTGTGGCTCAGGATTGGGCCTGTGGCTGGAAGGTTGCCGGTTCAAATCCTGCGGCTGGCAGAGGAATCCTACTCCGTTGGGCCCCTGAGCAAGGCCCTTAACCCTAACTGCTCCAGGGGCGCTGTACAATGGCTGACCCTGCGCTCTGACCCCCAGCTTCTCTCCCTGTCTGTGTGTCTCATGGAAAGCAAGCTGGGGAGTGTGAAAAGATTAATTCCTAATGCAAGAAATTGTACAGGGCTAATAAAGCAACATTAGCATTATTAAACCACGTCCTGAGAGAGCCATACAGGACAAGAACCGCAACCCTTCTGTTTTCTGTGCCTCAAGAACTGCATAAACACGCCAGCTGTGATTGCGGTTAAGCCAGTGCGACAGTTCGCTATTTCAGAACCAGAGTTTAAGCAGGCGACAGGAACTGCAGCACCTTGACAGGATCAACGTGCCAAATGCTCTCCAGCTGCTCGCCTTTAGCAGCGAATCCAACTGGCAGCACGGGCACGACAGCTGTGGAAATTCATCCACTGCTCTACCCTTACACTCCCAGGAACGCTTAGGAGGCACAAACGGATTCAGCTTAGCACACAGCCAGAGCCATCTCCTCAGCTAAAGTGGCTTCTTTTCTTCCTCCGGGCAGAAGGTCGAGAGAACGATCGATTTTTTTTTCATCCTCTGCAGCACCGGTCTAGAAAACGGAGCGAGCTGCGCAGATCTCGGCAGAGGCAAGAGGGAATCTGGGCGTCTGTAACTCAAGTACTCCCTTTACAGGTCTGCAGGCCAGAATCAATGCTAGCATTGCTGTCTAGGGTGCACCCTGCCTTGTGTGTGTTGCTTGTCAGAATAGGCTTCGGCTACCTTTTGACCCCGGATTGGAAGAAGCCTGTAAAAATTGGACGCATTAAGAATCAGATTCATATTTGCTGCTCATTAAGAAGTCATTATCTGCTGGTTATTGCATATAAATCTGCTCAATGGCTTATGAACAGCATGAAGAGACCTTCTGAAGCATCTAGTGTCTCAGTCAGGACAAGGCAAAGTCTTACTTGAAAACTGAGAGAGGCTGACAGGGGCTCCTGCTGTGGAGATATCTGCAGCCCCTGCGATGACTGTGAAAATGTATTCAGTGCCCGCAGTCAGATCTGTAAGATTAATGGACTTCTCTGTCATATTTTCTCGACTTTGCAGCAAAGAACAGGTTGAATTTGTCCCAGCCCCCCCAACTCTCAAGTAGAAGCCTTTTCCCCACAGGCAAGTGGTGACTTAAGTGACACTCAGGTTCCTGATGTCATCAGACCCCGTGAGTGCAGGCAAGGGGGTTTGAGTACAAGCCCAGAAATGAGCTGCAAATTAACTGAAACATAGCACGTACTCCACAGGTGTGGTTGGTCAGTTAACAGCACGGCCTTACAGGGGAGAAAAATAAATTTCGAGATCGAGAACTTAAAATCGCTGCGATTCTTCAGGAGAAATGGAAATAAATGCTACATCTCTCTGAAGGGGAAAAAAATTGGGTAAATAGAGTTACGATGAAGTTCATCCAAGAGAATATTTTCCAGAAGAGACCAGGGTCTCTGTTACAGACCTTTCAAGCACCAACCCTGTGCCTGACCCCGAGCGAAACGCAGCCCTGTGTGCTGTAGTATCAGTGCCTATAGCGCTTCATTAATAGGAAGTTATGGGATAATTTTTAACCGTGTTTTGGTCTCGGGGAATCCCTGCCTGGTTGCTAATGATGAACTGTACTGGTTCCTTGTTTCCAATATTAACTGCAGGGGTTTGTTTGCTTCTCAGGATCTGATAAGGATGTGAATGTCTGGTACATGAATTTAAGAAACTGCCCATTTTGCCCCTTTTAGATGTAGATCCATTGGTTGCCACTGAACCAAAACAAGCAAATGATCTCCAAAACAACCACAGCTACCCCTGCTAGCTAAACATAGCACCTTTCTCCACAGCAGTCACTTCTCCCCTCAGCACTATCGCCCACATCGGAATGTTCTAATCGGATCACAGAACCACACCAGTAAGAAACTCCATCGCCATGTTTCATCTCAAATCCTAAAGAACTGGTATGATAATGACCATTTTTACATTCAATTTAATAATACAGGAGTATAGATAGGACCACAAACAATGCATCAATTCCATGAAGCAGAAAGCCAGGCTTTTAAAATCATTTCAGTTAAAATGACAAAATGGTCAATAGGCCAAGCCAGCAAGATACAGTAGCGTTTTCTAAAGATTTAAATCGAGAGGCCTTCAGTCAATCTTCAGTCAAGAAATCAGAATTTAAACCTTATTATGTTAATGACCCCCCTATAGGGGATTTTAGACAGGCAAGCAAGAGATACACAGAATTATTGCAGAAGCCCCTTCCCAAACTAAGCGACAGAGAGGCAGAAGCCTTCCCTCAGCTACTGAAGATCTTGCATAACTTCACTGTGGTGCAATAAAAAGAAAAAAAAATTTGAACAAGGGCACATCTTATCTTACTCAAGGTGCTGTAAAAGAAGCCAAAAGGCTCTTGTTGCTGTGCGGTGATTAGCATCCATATTGCCAAGATTAGATATGGAGGGTTAATGAGGTCAGAGAACAAAGATGCCTGGAGTCTCAGGACCACTGAAAGCCAAGAGGGACTGATCACTAATGTTCCTGCACTATGGAATGGAAGAAACTCTCCTGCTCCAAGAGTGCATCTCTCCCGGCTTCACAAGAACCAATTGTGAGAGACTGGGTGCAGCTACAGCCAAGAGGAAAATATCCCGTATCCACACGCAGGCTTTATTATCCAGAATTGTGAATTACAGGCATGTTTATGACCAGAAATGTCTCACACTTTTTATGTTTTTATGGTGTGGCACAATGACACTTCTTTATCACAGCTGAAGCAGCAACAACAGGGCCCCGGTGAACGATGGATTTCTGCCTTCCTGGGGGACCGGCTGTAAACAGAACAGAACCGGGTTGGCTGAGCTTTGCAGAGGAAAGAAAATAAAGACTCCAACGAAACCAAGGGGAAAACAAATTGCTCAAGACTTTGTTGTTGCGATTATTGTAACTAAAACAGAAAAGATTGAGTGCTTCAGCAGTTAAAAAGGGAGTAAAAGTCTGACAGAATACACTGGAATACCTATTTCTACTGGAGAAGCGATGAAGTGCATTTCAAACCAAGAACAAGAGATGCCTAAATAAGCAAGAAGTTGTGGGAGAAGGGCTAACCAGCCATGTTTTTGAGGCCCTGGCTACTTCATAGAAAAAGCTGGATGAGGTCCTGAGATTTATTAACTACCAAACGGACAGGAGGGCAGAACAGGCCCATCTCATTTGTGACATTTATGGTTTTTGGAAGCTACCAGTGTGTGCAGCTTTCGCAAAACACCAAGGACACAGAGTGCAGAGTGCAATACAATACATTACCATTTTCTTTATGCCCAACGGTCCTGTATTTTACCTCCTCGTCCTGGCGCTGGTACGTCTGAAGGGTCATGTGCAGACTGAGGACGTGTGCGTGGGTAGGCCTCCCTCTGCTGGCGAGTCGATAACGCAGCAAACTGGGCGCTGCGCTGGATCGTTCTGCAGCGCTTGATGGGACGGTTTTGCGTAGAATCTTTCAAGGTCAAAGGCTCGGCGACACCGAAGCCTTGCGTCTCCGAGAGAGAACTGCAAAACTTTTGCAGCTCAGCTCACAACCTCCAACAGAAGCACCACCTCCTCAATCAAATGGCTACAGCTCCCCCTCCTGGCCACAGGGGAGAATGTTCTGAATACCACCCCAATGATGGAGGGATTCATAAAAACATTTTAGATTTTGCTCAACACCTCGTGATCGAATGTATTACTTCCAGTTAATTTTCATGCATGTACCTTAATTAAATATTATTTTAATAAGACGCTACCCAGAAAATAAACAGCAGGGTAAAAGGTGTAAAGTTGCATTTGCATCATACAGCTCCACAATGATTATGACCGAAAAACAAAATAACTGTTACAGGCGTTTATAAGGTGGTGTGCGCCCACTACGAGGATTAAGAATATTATGGGCTGCAAAGGTGTTAGCTGTACCTACAAAAGCAACGAGAAGCTACAGAAGAAATTTTAAAATGAGAATCTCCTATATGCAGGGGAAATAACCCCTTCCTACACGACCATGTGCGCCAGAGTGTTGTAGTCTCCACCCTTTTAAGGCTGCAGGTTTTTGTGCAATACCTCAAACATACTGTAACACAACCCCCTCCTACCTTAAAATGCAAACTACTTTGCATGCAACTACTTATTGTATACATCAGGATTTATATATTCCATATTTTTATTTCGCGTTTGTCACAGCAGTAACTCAGCCCAGTGGCGTCTGTCCGGCTGAACAGGCCGGGGCTCTGTGGGGTGTTTCAGTCACACGTGCTGGGGCTCCGGCTGTCCTCCCCCCCCCTCAGGCTGGGCTCAGTTCCTTGCAGCTCTTCAGAATGTCCTCCAGAAACGGCACCACTGACGGCAGGGGCCCCTCGGGGCCGTCGTCCCCGGAGAGGTTGCGCAGGTGCCCCAGAGTTCCCTCCAGGACCCTCATCCTCTCCCGGGGCTCCGGACACTCGCCGGGGTCGTCCCCCTCGCCCCCCCCGGTGTGGTAGCGCGCCAGGTACCCCCTGATCGCCGGGCCCCGCTCCGCCAGCGAGGTCCGGATGCGGGGCAGGTCCGCGGGCCGCGCCAGGCCGAGCAGGTGCAGCAGCGCCTGGCAGAGCTGCGCCCGCAGGCTGGCGCAGTACCTGTACTCCAGGAAGTCCTCCGTGTCCTCGCTCCTCTCCAGGGCCAGCGCCAGGGCGGCCCACACCTCCCCAAACTGCTCGTCGCTGCCGTACCGCTCCCGGCTGCCCGGCACTGCCAGCGCCATGGCGGACTTGATGCGCACCTTGAAGTTCTTGCAGGACTTCACCACCCCTGTCAAAGCTGAATAGGCGTCCGAGGTCCAGGGGGCAGTGCCTGAGAGGCCGACAGGATGACGGAACAGGAGATGTATAAGTGGCCTTCCAGATATTCAGCTACACCTGCCAGACCACACGTCTGCTGCGCTTTACATACGACACCAACAAGGCTAGGAACTCAGTCCTCATCTCTGACCAAATTTTGAAACTTAAAAAGCAGCCATATCACCCAGCAGCTCCACTGGAGCTCAGCAGGTGTGAGCCTGGTCAGTACCTGGATGATAGGCCTGTTGGGAAAAACTAAGGTTGCTGCTGGTAGAGATATTAGAGGGGGCAGAAGGGGGCGCTCACCCTGTGGTCTGTGTGGGTCCTAATGCCCCAGTATAGTGACAGGGACACTATACTGTAAACAGGTGCCGTCCTTCGGATGAAATGTAAAACCGAGGTCCTGACTCTCTGTGGTCATTAAAAATCCCACGGTGTTTCTCAAATAGAGTAGGGGTGTTACCCCAGTGTCCTGGCCAAATTCCCCCCTGGCCTTTACCAATCATGGCCTAATACTCCCCATCTCTGAACTGGCTTCATCACTCTGCTCTCCTCCCCACTGAGAGCTGGTGTGTGGGGAGAGTAGTGGGGCTGCACACTAGTGGTGGAGGGGATCCCCATTACCTGTAAAGCGCTTTGAGTGGAGTGTCCAGAAAAGTGCTATATAAGTGTAAGGAAGTATTATTATTAACTCTGCCCATCTGTGAGCAAATAATGGAGGACGTGAAATAATTTGGTTCAAGGCTTTTCACGGAAAGCCAGCAGCTGAACTGTCTTTGTTCTGCGGCCTTGGGCAGCTCCCTGGTTCGTCACGGGACACGGCTGGCTCACCTAGCGGCAGGGCGGGGTTGCGGAAGGCGTTGCCGAGGGCGTAGCAGGCGTTCCAGCGCACCTTCATGGTGGCGTCGCCGCCCACCGTGCCGATCAGCGCCCGCACCGCCTCCTCCAGCGGCCCGGCGAAGCTCGGGCGGGACACGTGCTGCGGCTGCAGGAAGTGCAGCAGGTTGCCCAGGGCGCGCACCGCATTGCTCTTGACCTGCGCCGGGACAGAGAGAGAACCTGCGTCAGCCAGCAGCCAGATCACCCTGCAACTCACCACTGGCTGCCCCACTGGAACTCAGCAGGTGTGAGCCTGGTCAGTACCTGGATGGGAGACCTCCTGGGAAAAACTAAGGTTGCTGCTGGAAGAGGTGTTAATGGTATCTGATATCTGATGTGTGGTGATATCTGATATCTGATGTGTGGGGAGCGTACTGGCGCACTATGGCTGCCGTCGCATCATCCAGGTGGATGCTGCAGCACACTGATGGTGGGGGTGGAGGGGATCCCCATTACCTGTAAAGCGCTTTGAGTGGAGTGTCCAGAAAAGCGCTATATAAGTGTCAGCAATTATTATTACAACTGAAAATCCCCTGAACTGTTTCACTGGAGGCCTTTCTGAAAAGCCACTGAGAGCACCACTCAGTGCCAAGAGCACTGCCCTGCTGCACATACCAGGGCTGACTAATCCGGGCCAAGCAGGGCCAGTGAGACTGCAGGATTCAGTCCAACTCTTCACAAGCTGAACTAACTGGTTATTGGCTTAATAGGATGAATAGACATAAACTCCTTTGGGAGGTGCTTTTATTCAAAACAAGACACAACCAGACAGCTTCTCCCTCTTCCTAGATTTTAAAAAAGCTGGAGAGAACCTGCAGACACACTGGCCCTCCAGGTCTGGAATTAGCGCCACTATATATCATAAAGTTCTGGACAGGTACTCAACATGGCAG